TTATAAAGGCGGGGTGTTCACGGGCGATGATTGTGGGACAGAATTGAACCACGCTGTTACCATCATTGGGTATGGGACAGCTGAAGATGGCACCCCCTATTGGTTAATCAAGAATTCATGGTCCGATACGTGGGGTGAGAATGGCTACATGAAGATTCTTAGAAACGCTGATGCCCCAGGTGGTGTTTGTGGCCTCGCTATAAAACCTTGCTATCCGACTATGTAATGTATTAATGAAAGGGTGGAGTGAGCTTCTCCACTTTGCCTTTAGGTTATAAGTACTGCAGACAAAACCCATGGGCTGTGAAAATGCCTGTATTTTGTACTTGCAAAAAGTAGGTTCTATGAAATTACACTATTTTACCTTTATATTCGTCAATGAATTTTCCTACCCTGTTTATGCTAAATTAATAACCACAGCTGCAACGGCAGTTTGCTGGATTATGCCTTTGAATCCATATAGGAAAACAGAGCAAGTGACAAAACGAGCATGCTTCCCAGATGATTGGTTATGGAACGTGCCTTCCACAGTGAAAACCAAAAGGTCTCTTTTGAAAGCTTGAGATGTCCCTAACAAATCTTCAAAAGGAATCTTCCTCAAAATATGCCATCTTGACTTCCAAAATGCCTAAAACGTCCAAAAACGTAGCGCTGCATACTGGGCCTTCTTTTCCTCGCCACGCCACGGTCAAAAGGCTTGGTAGAAAAATCTGGAATTTTGATACAATTATCTTGAAAGGCTCACGAACATCCTTCAACTGAAATCACTTCAAAATTCATCCGTTTAATAATTTTTTGCTCCAAAGGAAGTCGAATGTGTTATATTAGAAATATAATTTAAAGTATCAAAATCTCATCAAAATAATCAATAAATAATATATGGTATAATATGGACTCATCAGTTGTCATCACAAAGCCCTCAGTTCCATCGGTACTTTGTGAACATTGACTTTTGAGAAAAACCTTGCGATTATTTCAATATTCATCATCTTGGGGACTTTGGCATCTCAAGCCTCATCGCGAACATTGTACGAAGTTTCAATTGCTGCAAAATATGATCTGTGGATGGCAAAGTACGGACGCGTTTATAAGGACAGTGAAGAAAATGAAAGGCGTTTCGCCATATTCAAGAGCAACGTCGAGTACGTGGAGAAATTCAACCGTGATGAAAATAACACATACAAGTTAGGACTCAAGGAATTTGCCGATTTTAGCCACGAAGATTTCGTCCAACAATATACTGGATACATAAAGCCCAATGAACAGACATCATCCGCAGATGTATCTTTTAGGTACGAGAGCTTAGGCGGTCCTGATGTTCCCCTTAGCATCGACTGGAGGATGCATGGAGTCGTCACCACGTAAAGAATCAAGGACCCTGTGGTAAGAGTCTAAGAGATCAACTTTAAATGCTTTATTTTATATTACTATCTTAAATGTTTTTATTCTTTCTTAGTCCATATCTTACCGATATTTGAACATATCGGCAATGTATCAAGTACACTAGAACACATCACTATTCCTCGGTTTTGTAGTATGTATTGACATTCATATTTTGTGTTATATATTGCAGGCTGTTGCTGGGCATCCTCTGCAGTGGCTGCTTTGGAAGGGATTATCCAGATCAGAACAGGTTAGTTGAGATCACTATCCGAGCAACAACTTGCGGACTGTTCCGGAGATTACGAAAACAAGGGCTGCCATGGTGATAATATGGTGACTACCTTTGAATACATACTGCAAAATCGAGGAATCGCAAGCGAAGCAAATTACCCATACGAGGCTACTGAGGGAATATGCCACGCTAACAACTCAAATTGGCACGCTTCCAGTGCATGTATAGCCGGTTACGAATTAGCTCCTCGCAACCGCGAAAGCGATCTAATCAAGGCCGTGTCCATGCAACCGGTTTCAATTGGCATTCTTGTCACCTGGCTGGACTTTAGATTTGACAAAAGCGGGGACTTCACCGCTGTACAAGGTTGCGGGACAGTCCCAAACCACTGTGTCACCATCGTTGGCTATGGGCGAAGCTAAGATGCCCCTCCCCTAGCCGGAAGTGAAGCTCACGAGCGATGGTTTGCCCCTCTGCTCCCGTCTAGGGATGGCAATGGGACGGATTAGGTTCAGATGTGCCATTCCCAAACCTGAACCCGTAGAATCCCCAAACGGGTTTTCTCCATAACTGAACCCGTCGGGTGACGGATTTTTGATCGGAGAACGGTTTTCCTCATTATGAGATTTATATATTTATTTATATTATTAACTAAATGAAGAATATTTAAAAAAAGAGATATTAAATAAATTGCTATTATTAATACAATTGATACAATGCATCTAATAAGTAATATTAAAAAATTGTGTGACTAAGAAAAGATTTACACTCTTAAAAATTATAAGCAAATAATTCCTATTATTAATGATATAAAAGTAAATAATTAACTTCATATTTAATAATGCATGATTATTAACAACCCATTAATTTCATATAATAAATATTTATATTTTATTTATTTATAGATGAAATGGTTTTGTTTCGGGTATGGGTTTGGGGCGGATACCCAAATAACCATAACCGAACCTGAAACTGAAAAATTTACATGAAGGTTACCCATACCCGTAAAATACTTGAAATTTTATACCCAAAACCGAACCATTCGGATCGGTTACTTGCAGGGATTGGATTTGACGGGTTAAATTGTCATCCCTACTCCCGTCGGAAAACCTGCAAGTTGTGAAGCCCCTTCCTAATCGGAAAGCACATTAGGCGAGACTAGGAGGGAGGGATTAAGCAGAGTTATTCAAGTCTGGGCGAGGTTGGGCAGGGCGGGGTGCGGCTAGGTGGGCGTCTATGAAAAAGCTGGAATCTGAAAGTTTTTTTGCACAGTCAATCGCCCCCGAGGAAGAAGATGAGGTCTCAACAACCATTTTAATTCGAGTAATGTTATTCATACATGTTTTTGTACCACATTTTTATACCACCTTAGGTGATATTTGATGTGGACAGTCACATCATTTGGATTAATCAGATTTTTAAATTTAGTTCATTATTTAATAAACTAATAATTAAGAAAAACTAGTTAATTAAATGTTGATTATGGTATACGAAGAGTCTTTGTCTTTCATTTCCTTGGGTTTTGCAATTTTTTCAAATGATGTGGCTGTCCACATCAGATGCCACTTAAGATAGTATAAAAATGTGGTATAAAAATATAGCATGAATAACATTATTCTTTTAATTCCACGGTTTATTTAAGATGGTCCCACCATCTTTTTAATCGCCGCACATTTCTTTTAGGCCCCATCTTCTATTTATTACTTTTTATATCCCTTTATTTTTCTCCTTCTTAACCTAAATATCAAATTTTCCCCTCTCTTAACCCAATATCACTTTTTATTTCTTTTAAAATAACACATTATATTTTGTACCTAAAACTCTCCCCTTTTAAAAAAATAACGTTTTATTTAATGTTTAAATATAATTTTGTTAAAAAAAGTGTTTAAATTTAATTAATTTATATAATAGATTATAAATTTATTTATATCCGCCTAATTTGCCTAGACCCTGCCTACGCGATATCCCAACCCGTCGCCCGATTAATGCTAGCTTATTTTAGAACCTTGTTTTACAAACCCCTTTTCTAATTCTTTGCCTTCTGTGTGCCCTGATCGGCTGCAGTTTGCAGCATTCAATCAACCAACAACAGCCTTGCAGCTGCTTTCCGTTCCATTCCAAGTGAAAGCCAACATAGTCAATTTGATACTTTCAAGTGGTTGGAGTAAAATATAGCAAGAGATTCTGCATTTTGCCGTTATTGCTATATTTTCAAATGAAAACAGGAGATGTTGGCAGTGATGTCTTCACTGAAAAGGGTTTTTAATGTAACTTGTTTGTATTGATAAACTATGGACGATATTACTAAATGGATTTGGTTGTTTCCCTTTTTTTGAACTTTGCACTTTTAAATTCGCCCCTCCCCCTTCTAATTCCTGACTTCGCCACATACTACAGATGGCACCAAGTACAGTATATTCAAGAATGAATGGGGTGAGAGTTGGGGCCAAAATGGCTACATGTGAATTCTCAGAGATGCTGGCCTCCTAAAGGTCTTTGTGGCCTTGCTACAACGGCTTCCTACCCAATTATAGATTGATCGTCTCTGCGTCAAAGACTACAGTTAAGTTGTGTAAATCTAATTTTCTTCCCAATATTTCGAAAGCTCCGTCGATAAAAAGGGTTTGTATTTTGTATCTGATTAGCATAACTGAAGACGGCGTCAAGTTGTCTTGAAAAGAATATAATTAAGTGTGTGAATCTAATTTTCTTTTCATTTAGGTGTGCGGAGTTTTATCTCAAAATACCTCGATTCTCTAGACCTAAAATTTTAGATAGTTCTTCCACTTGATGAAGTTGAAACTTGATATAAATTAGAGCAATTTTTATCAATTAGCTGAGCATAAAATTAATTCAGAAGATCTGCTACCGCAAGAGAATTAGTTTTGAAAAGGATACTTAATTACGTGAAGAGCACTTTGAATGCCAGTCGAGCAACTCTGAGTTGGAGGGCCACTGCATTGACTTACCATTGCTAGTACTTGAATTTCAAAAATCATCATCAAATACTGGAGTTTTACGTTCAAATTTCATGAACCTCACCCCAATTCTGTATGATGAGGTTCACTGCTGCAGATTGGTAGATTTGTGGTCATCAGCACCATTAACGGAAACTAAAGGCCAAGGGGCAAAGACTTCAGCAATAGACCAAGGACTTGTAGTCATCAGACCCTTGATTCATCAATGGATCGTTCGAACTTCTTTGTACACAAACTCCTCGGCGAAAACAAAACAAGCGTAGCGTTCGGGCTAGATTGATTGATGAAGTTTACCGTGACTTGAGTCATCAACCCGTGGAATGTGCCAGGAAATTTGGCTCCCTTCTAAATTCCCATCCTAACAATTTCAACAAAGTGCACATGCAGGACATCCCGAACGCCTTCTATATAAACCGGTAATATCATGCTTGCTTCTTCACATCCAGCTTGCCAATCACTACTTGAAACAAAGCCATTGTCGACACAGAGCGCCCTCTCATCACCGCAATGGCTTTTGAAAGAAACCTTTTGATTGTTACCATACTCGTCACCTTGGGGACCTTGGCATCTGAAGCCACGTCCCGCACATTGTACCAAGCTTCCATTGCTGCAAAACATGAGCAGTGGATGAAAAAGCATGGACGCGTTTACCAGGACAGCGCAGAGAAGGAAAGGCGTTTCCAAATTTTCAAAAACAATGTGGAGTTTGTCGAGAAATTCAACAGTGAAGGGAACATGACTTACAGCCTACACATCAACCGATTTTCGGATATGACCTATGACGAATTCCTCAGGGATTATACTGGATACAAGCAGCCCACTGAATCAACCTCATCCACAGCTGCATCTTTTACATACGAAAACCTGAGCCTGGCTGATGTTCCCCAAAACATTGACTGGAGGGAGAATGGAGCAGTTAGTCCAGTAAAATTTCAAGGGAGCTGTGGTAAGAGCACCAACCACCATATTAACATAGGGCTAAGCTTCCTTGTACATATGTATGTATTGCATTAATTACTTTCTTCGTGCATTCATTCCTACGGAAATTAATTCATATCCGTTTGTTCGAATAAATGCAGGTTGTTGCTGGGCATTTTCTGCAGTGGCTGCAGTCGAAGGGATTACCCAAATCAAAACTGGCAAATTGATCTCACTGTCTGAGCAACAACTTGTGGACTGTGATACAGATAACAATGGCTGCCAAGGTGGTTGGATGGGTAATGCCTTTGCATACATTCAACGAAACGGAGGAATTGTCAGTGAAGAAAATTACCCATACCAGAGTTCAGATGGCAGTGCCGGAACAAGTGACATGAACAAGGCAAATGAGGCTGCCGCCCAGATTATTAGTTATGCAGAGGTGCATCCCAACAGTGAAACCGATCTACTCAAGGCTGTATCCATGCAACCAGTCTCCGTTGCCATCAATACTGTTGGTATTCACAAGAGTTTACTAACTCAATACCAAAATATGTGGGTGATAAGTTTACAAACTCTATCACACCTCTCACTTTCACTCTCAATAAAATTGGACAAAGAAATAGAGAAAGGAGGGAAGCAACAAGCTTTGATAAAACACTTGGACTTTGATATATGAAAGAAGTAGCAAGCTTGGTGATAACAAACACTTTGAAATATTAGAAGAGTTTACAACTCTTAAAGCTTACAAGCTGAAAATGAGAATGGAAATGGGATTTGGATGGGATGCTATAAAGCTTAGCAAGATGGCCTATTTATACAAAACAGAAATTGATAAACAATGCAACAACACATGCAATGAATGGGGTGTTTAACATCTTTACACCCTTTAAAACACATGCAAGAACTTTGGACAGTCTAGCACACATATGCAGCTATCTTTCCAGCTTGCAATCAACACTATTTCGGCTAATACACAGCAGCACACTGCTGTCTTCCTGCTAGCACATCACATGGCAGCACACTTGCTGTCTTTCATCACCATTTCAGCTAGCACATGGAGGAAACTTTAGACTTTGTAGTTGCAGCATGTGTGGATACAACCTGTAAAGAAACTAACAACTAGCAGCAACCTTTTACAACCTGTTTTTATTTGAATTTCCAACACGCCCCCTCAAATCAAAACGCCTTCATGCCTAGCATTTCACGCAATAACCGGAATGATTCAACTGGTAGTGGCTTAGTGAAGATGTCAGCCGCTTGTTCCTTTGTGTGACAATAGACAAGCTCAATTGTCTTTTGCTTCACATGGTCCCTTAGAAAATGGAACCTGGTATCAATGTGCTTACTCCTTCCATGTTGGACTGGATTCCTAGCAAGCTTGATAGCTGAGATGTTATCCACATGAATCACAGTCGATTCCACTTGTGGATGACACACTGACTTCAACAGATTTCTTAACCAAATTGCCTCACACACGGTTGAGGCTACAACAACGTACTCGGCTTCACACGATGACAAAGCAACAATTGATTGCTTCTTTGAAGTCCATGAGAAAGCTGTTGATCCTAGAAAAAACACATAGCCAGTTGTGCTTTTCCTTTCATCTTGGTCACCTCCCCAATCACTATCTGAATAACCAATAATTTTGCATCTTCACCAAAATTATAAAATAGACCATAGTTTAGAGTACCTCTTATGTACCTCAAAATTCTCTTGGCGGCCAGCCAATGAGACTCCCTTGGGTTTCCATGTATCGACTCACGAGTCCAACACCATAAACTATATCAGGTCTTGTGATTGTAAGGTACCTTAGGCTTCCAACCAAGCTTTTGTACACGGTTGAGTTTACAAACTCACCTTCTCCTTCCTTGGACAGCTTCAATCCAGTTGCAACTGGAGTGTTGACAATATTGCACTTGTCCATATTGAATTTCTCCAATATATCTCTCATGTACTTTTGTTGAGAGATGTAGATACCGTCACTTCCTTGCTTCACTTCTATGCCAAGAAAGTATGACATTAATCCATTGTCAGTCATCTCGAATTCACTGAACATGGATTGCTTGAACTCACAGAACATTGCTTCATTGTTTCCTGTAAACAACAAGTCATCTACATAGAGACAAATAATTAAGAACTCCCCTTTTGCACCATTCTTCATGTAAACTGAATGCTCGTATGGACATTTCTGAAATCCATTTTGATGAAGGTAGTTGTCAATCCATTTTCATGTAAACTGTACGCAAATATCGCTGTAGTCTAATGAGAAATTAGTCATCTCGATTAGTGTAGGAGCAAGTCATCTTTTATTATTTCTATTCTTACCTACAACCGGGGATATAGAGTTTCCGTTATATCCTAACCACATGAAGAGTGTTGTAGACTTGTGAGGATATATCCCCAACGGGTTCGCCTGTGCCCTTGTATCAAAAGAAGCAAAAAGACAAGGTTTCCAAGCAAATACGAAATTTGAACCATGCAACTCTTCGAACAAATAATGCACAATAACCAGTTTCTTTAGCTTTTTAATGGACACAATGTTTAATAAGCTTTCATTTTCATTCCCACGTAACGGTACAGTACGGAGGAGGGACACTGAGTCGATCAACGAACATAGAGGATGACTAATTTCAGCAACCAAAACAAAACAGGCTTTTAAACATCATCCGTAACTTGGTTCGTACATCTTTTTACGCAGAGATTCATTTCTCAATTACAGAAAATTGGCGAGCTTCGATTTCACATTTAACTCTGAACATGTCAATTTGTGGATGTCATGGCCTTGTCAAGACGGCTATAGATTCACACTCCAGACTACATATAACATCCTGTGCAGCAAAATGTGGAACTGGTAAGGAACGTAACTTTTTACACTTCTTCTAGCACGTTTTCTTTTATTAACAGATTAAACACATTAAAAACGTCATAAAACCATCCAAATTCATGTATTCACAGAGAACAGAGAGAAATTGGTAAAATTTTACTTACAGAAGGATATTGTCGGTCTATGTCAAAGCTGTTGATTGCACAAGGTTCTGCCAGCAGCTCGATGGGTTCCTCACCTAAACAGATTCGGGCAATTTGAAACTATTAAGTCCCATTTCAAGTTTCAAGAATATATGGTTTTACAAATGGTCAGTTCGTTCGAAAATAAAGAAGCTATCAGCCATGATGGGTTGCCATCCCACAAAATAGCACAAAGGACCATACCTTGTTCAACAACAGCGAGGATACCATCTTCTGAACATATCATAGTAGGTAAGATACGTGAAGAAACATTTCCCACATTCGAAGACTTTGCATAGTGGTCATACTGAACCTCCCAAACCTCACTTTCGCATGGTGAATGGGTTGCTTCACCTGCCCCAACCCCAGAAAGAAGGATTGGCTGCTGTGGCCACCTAAGATCTCACACAAATACAGTCCCTAAAGAACCTCCAGCCTGTAAGTACGAGAAAATCGTAAAGACAACATGAGGTTATTCTTTTCGGTCTGTAACAACATAAGACATAAGCAAAATAGAAGCCAGCAATGGATATATACACAGCACATCATTGTGTAAGCAACATTTAACATATTAGATGCACTCTCAATGCACACAATATCCCGAGAACGGGATTTCACATTCTTTCCCCCTTATAAAATTTCGTCCTCGAAATTTCAATATCAATTCCATAATCACCAATGCCACATATTTAACAGATAACGATGCTAGAATGACATTCACACTTTCATTATACTTGAATTTGACTATCATCAAGTTCGACAACATCGAACCACAACTCACAATTTCAATTATCTTCGTTTCAAGACGATCTCAACACCAAATCTTGGTACAAGCACAAAGAATGCCACATTTAATAAGAATTCATCAATATACTCATGATTCTGGCAACCAAACCAACCAAATTTATAATTACAACTTTCCCTATCATTCCATTTATAGTGAATAAAATCATAACCTCAGTCTATGAGTTTATTCAAGCTCAAAATAAATAAATCAACGAAAATCATCGTGATCCTCACCCATATACTTAGATTCCCAGCAACATTTATTGACAGAATAATTATTAGAAAGTCTAGTCATACACATTGGCAAAATATGTATCAAACATCAAGCCGCAATCCGAATTGGCTAAATAAATACCAGATTATCAAACCACATCTACCATTGGCTAGATAAATACTAGCATAATGACCACAAGCATTGGTAAAATCACTTACCATTACTGACTATACATAGCCGTTACCACGATTCTTCCTCAAAATTTCTAGCCACACCCACTGGTGATACCAACATCAGAAAATTTCACCATACTCATCATTAGCAAAACAAACATCATAAATTCCAGCCGTAACCCTCATTGGTCAAATAAATATTAGAATTTCAAGCCAAACCATCATAATTGGCAAATCACATATCAAAAATTCTAGCCACATTCATTGGAATTCCAAATCACAATTATTCACCACTATATATTAAACCAATCATAGCCTTGGGTTGCGATTTCATTCCCGCTCATAAAATCATCATGACTTTCATAAATATTAAAATTTTCAATTATAATTATCATGGCCATAAGATTTGAAAATGTCTAACCATAATCATCATTGGCGAAACAACGATTTCATCAATCAAATAAATCACTATGGTTCAACATAATACCATAATTCATAGCATGTAACATATCAAAGAACCAACGAAGCATAGTCTTATTCTCAAGCCACATTGATCCACTAATCTATTCATAATAATAACATGGTGAATTCATTTATATTCACAAGTTCTACTATGATTACTCCCCATTCACTCAAATCTAGGGTCAGACTAACCTTATGAAAATAAGCAAGAGCAAGGATTTCGAACAACTCAACGAAATCCAAAATATTTAGTGGTTTCTCGTAATCTACCCAAATTTATCACATGTATAATCCATGCCTACATCATGAGAATGGTGCACTAGCCAACCAAAACTCGGATAACTGCAAAGCTCGGGTGAGGGACAATAATCCAAGTATGTAATACAATTAATAAAACTAGCCATCAATCACAATTTATAAACCTTGAATATAAATCATTCATAAGAAATCAATGCCAAACCTTTGAAAACTTTGAAGGAGTCACCTAGACATCCAACAGTTCATCTGAAACAAATCACAATATCTCACAACCATAATCTCATACAACATAATGAAAGGGTTGCAGCTCGGCCGAAGCCTACATAAGTAACCAAACAGGAAGTGGCCCCCCAAAGCAGATTAACCAAGCAGAGCCACCCTTGAGAAAGTAACCAAGCAGGCAGTGACCCCCCAATGCGGATTAACCAAGCAGAGTCACTCCTACAACTGTTAAGAAGTGATCACCCAATGCGGATTAACCAAGCATGATCACTCCTAAGCATACATGGCCATAAGGATCGCCCAACGTGGATTAACCAAGCGCGATCCATGTATATAGTATGGTCCCTCAATGCGGATTAACCAAGCAGGGTCATAGTCCACTACTAGCCCTCAATTTACAAAACATTTCAATATGCAATTCGAATCACTTTTCCCAAATATTACCAATCCATGAATCAAATCACATTTAATAATCATAGATTGATGGCCAATTATAAAAGAATCACATTTTAACAAAAAACACATTTATAAAATCAAGTCATATCCACATAGAATAACAATTACGAAAACAGGGTAATCACCAATATCACATAAATTAAAGTCACTCACCGAGGCAAGTCCGCAAAGCTTCACTAAGTCTCTAGTAATACTAATTTTAGTAATTCAATTGGTTCAAGACCAGTTGACCAAAGTAATACCAATGCAAATCATAATTCTCGTATATATAAACATATATCACATGAATGCATCTTTATGCATTAAAAAAAATTGTGAAATCATGTACCACAATGCGTATCGTAATTCACGCCAACAAGACTCGAGAAGGTTGCATATCATAGAGTAGGATCAATTGCTCTGATACCATTAGTTGTCACGCCCCGATCCTGACATACGTCCAGTAAGGACACGTGACGTCACCAAATACTTGTATATCTAACATACCCCACCTCCTGAATATATACAAAGTATCATTCAAAATCCAGATGCATAATAAGTTTTTGTATACTTTATGGCTGCATCTAACCTCTTCGTTAGACTGCCTACGTACCCTCATTAGGGATCAAGCCATTCATAGTTCAACTTCTCTATAACTCGACATATAACACGATTCGTTCAAGCCAAAAAGGCATAACATTCCTCAATCAAACATTTGGACTTGACAAGCATGAATTATTCAATTCAAGCTACATAATAACCCACATGATAATCAAGATTTCTATTTCATCCATCATATACATCATTATGTTTCAACATAATCGTGCAGGCGGTGATCACCCAACGCGGATATACCAGGCATGATCACCCCTGAATACGTAGGGTCCCCTATCGCGGATATACCAAGCAGAACCATCCATGTACCTTGCTACATGGTGCAATAACTTCAACACACAACTTAACCACATCTCAACCTTTATGAGTTTCAACGTAGTCATCTACACCATCAACTTCTCAAGGCCATCACTAATATGTCACACAAGCATATAAGTGCTACAACATACTTCAAATAGGATTCTAGGATAACCTTATCATAAAAAAAATAATCATACACATCAATCACAGTACTAAAAGATAATTAAACTCAAATATATCCCAACCATCATAAGTACACAAGCCAATTCATGTTTAATAACATAGTCTATGGCTAATATATAAAATCACATTTCAATACAAATCCCATTTATAAGACCAAGACATATTCACACACAATATTAATAAAAGAAAATAAGTTAATATCCATATCTCATATACTCAAGTCACTCTCTAACCAATGTAAGCCCACTAGACTTCAATTAGTCCCTTGTAGTATTAATTTTAGTATTTAGAACGTTTCGAGACATGTCGACCAAAAGTCAATTCTCGGTCAACAATAAGATCCACAATGCTACAAAATTTGATCCAGAAGATCCACACATCATAATCTAGATCCGTAACTTTCTAAGGTCCACATTATTCTCAAAGAACAACATATTAAAATCTCATCACGATCTGACAGTTGGATCTCCGCCAATTACTAAAGTTAAGTGGCGATCAACAATTTATTTTACAAACTTAGAAATCCAATTCGGGAAGATCCGTACGTTGGATTCCCGATCCGTAAGTTCCTAACATCCTCAAATATTACTTATTATAATGTCTTAAAGTTTGGTGATGATCCAACGGTCAGATCATCGGTTTATATTTTGACCTATTCACGTATCAAAAAGAAGCTAAGTCCAGACAATTAATTTGTGTCGTACGGATATCAAACATGAACTCATGGCATCTAAAAGTGCTTTAAAAGACATCATCGGCCCACAGGCCACGCGCCACCGCATGCACCGCCGCGGGTGGCGGTCGGCTGCCCCGACTCGCCAGAAAAATCCAACTATTTCCAAAAATTACCAAAATTTACAGGAATGAAGATCTCAATGAGAAGAGTAAACTTTATGCCTGCGGCCAAGGCTAATTTGGCCGGAAAACCCCAAACTGGCCACGAACCGCCGAAATCCTTAGGTGGGTGTGCTTCGAATTCGGCTTCCAATCGAACTCTGACGCCTCCAACACTGCTTGTGCTTTGTTCCTAGGGTTGAGGGGAGTCTTTTGGTGGTGGTCATGGACGGTGAAACTTGCCGGAGCCACCGGAAAAAGGGATAAAGCTGTCGGAACACCCTTGGGTTTGTGGCTTCGAACAGGAAAAATGGGGAAGAAATTGGGAAATCTAACACTACAAAGATGTAGGGCTCATCAAGAGCTTTCCATGGACACTAAGATCACTCAAAACGGAGTTCAGATGAAGGAGATACAAGTGGGTCAAATTTGTGGGTTAACGGGTCCAATTCAACCCCAAAACGGGTTAGCAGCAGCCATTTTCCTTCTTTTTTTTTTTTTTTTTCCTCCTCCTTCTTGGTTCTTTTTATAATCCCCTTAACCGGTTCCTTTAACCCAAGGCCCTTTTATCCTCTAGTGGAAATTAAATAATTTTCACAACCTAAAGTTTCACAACTTCAAATGTCCGTAACTATACCGTCATAACTCGGACTCACAAACGGCTTTCGTTTATGCGCTCGTGGCTTTGAGACCTATTCGAAAACGTTACTTGTGACCTCAAAAAGTCAATGAGTAAATAATAATTTTCCAAACTTCACCCTTCGTACCTAGTTTAATTGAAATCTAATTTCAAATAACTAATATAAATTTTCAAAAAATAATATAAAATCTCAATAATACAAATACGTAGATTATAACAGTGAAATCCGAGAACGGGATTTCACAGTACTAGTCCAGCAATCACCATGAAGGTTT